AAAGAAAGAAAGAGAAGGAAGGAAGGAAGGAAGGAAGGAAGGAAGGAAGGAAGGAAGGAAGGAAGGAAGGAAGGAAGGAAGGAAAAAACCAGGTACTGGTGACTCAAGCTGTAATCCTAGCTACTCAGGAGGCTGAGATCTAAGGATCATATCGAAGCCAGCCCAGGCAAGAAAGTCCATGAGACTCTTATCTCCAATAAATTACTTAGAAAAAGTTGGAAGTGGTGCTATGGCTCAAGTGGTAAAACACAAATAGGCTCAGATACAGCACCTATACCCTGAGTTTTACTTATAAAAACTTTAGGGTTCATATTTTGAAAACTACTAAGATTCCTGGGTATATGTCTAGATAATAAACTTAGGTTAATAAAGCTGAGCAATAAATACATACTTTATTTTACCTTAAATAATCTGACAGTACCAGACTTTACTATTCATGATGGATAGCCATAAACATACACAACAGGTAGTCTTTAGTAATATTCTGATTTTATTATGCTGTACATAAAATTATTTAGAGAGTCACCTGTTACTGTCTTCTTAATGCCTTGGATATTTCAGTGTGTCCCATGGGAGAGGCCAACATCCAAAATTAATGGAATTTAATTACTCTCATATTCATAGCCATATAAAACTTTAAATACCCAAAAGTATTCCAAATTCAGGCACTTAGCATGATTTAAACCATACTATTAAATATATTAACACCTCTCCAGTGATCTTTACTCTGGAGTCATCATGAATTAAAATATTCTCAACTCTTGATACATCCAAAGTTAAATCAAAGACTGGCAAACAATAACTCTTATGTAGCATTACCCTCTACACTACACCACAGAGATTACTATTTTACTTGACATAAACACAATAACTTTTTAAATTTCAGATTTGATATTTAGTAATATATCTGAAGATACCCAAAATATTAAGGAATTTCCAAACTGTAGTTTATGCAAACCTGGAGACCATTTTTCTCTAAGACCAATCAAATTTAGATTTTAAATACTCTGTGATTCAGTGGTACCAATCAAACTGATATTTGGACATCTGATTTAAATAATTTTTGAGTTAATTAAAAAAGAGAAAAACTGGATTATGTTCACCATCCAGAAATTCTATTATGAAATGCTGATAAGCATATAGCAATTAATTTTTATTCCTAAGTTACACTGAAATTATTCTGGCCTACTACAAACTTTATTGTATAAACCATATGTAGAAGTTTTACTATTTGTGTTTAAAGTAGTAAAAAACTAGAGATCAAAGGTCAGTAAATGAGGTAACTTTGGCATGTTTCAAAATTTATGTCAAAGGTCTGAATTCAACCCTTAGTACCTTAAAAAAAAATTGTTGCCTGGTACCAGTGGCTCATGCCTATAATCCTAACTACTCAGGAAGCTGAGATCTAAGGATCAAATTTCAAAGCTAACCAGGCAGGAAACTCCATGAGACTCTTACCTCCAATAAACTACTAATCTCAAGTAGTAGAGAGCAAAGCCAGGAGCAAAAAAATCCTAAGTAATAAGCCAAGGGCCTGAGTTCAAGCTGTAGGACTGGCACCATATTTATTTATTTATTTTGGTCGGTTGTAGGGCTTGAACTCTGGGCCTGGGCACTGTCCCTCAGCTCTTCAGCTCAAGGCGAGCACTCTACCACTTGAGTCACATCACCACTTCCGGCTTTTTCTGTTTATGTGGTGCTGAGGAATCGAACCCAGGGCTTCATGCATGCAAGGCAAGCATTCTACCACTGAGCCACCTTCCCAGCCCAATTTTTTTTAAACAATGTTTTTCTACCTTTTCTGCTTTATGAAATAGTATATTTTCTTGAAAAAATGGCTACAATCTGTTAACTTGTGTTGAGTGCTAGTCTGAATAGGTTAGACAGCCTTCCTTCACCCTTAGGGATAAGGGTGGAGAATGAACCCTGCATGCTAGAAAAGTGCTCTACCTCTACATCCCCAATAAATTGGGTAATTTTGCAATATAGACTGTTGCTGTTGTTCTGTTTTCGTCATGCCTTTCATATTACTACTCTGAGGAACAAAAAAATCTTTTGTAGCAGCTCTTTTAAAAATATATTTATAGCTGGGCATCCATGGCTCACATCTGTAATCCTAGCTATTCAGGAGGCTGAGATCTGAGGATTGGGGTTCAAAGCCAGCCAGGCAGGAATGGGCCATGAGACTCTTATCTCCAACTAATCACCAGAAAACCAGAAGTGGTGCTGCAGCTCATAGTGGTACAGCACCAGCCTTGAGAGAAAGAGCTCAAGGCAGCACCCAGGCCCTCAATTCAAGCCCCCATGGCCAAAAAAAAAAGTATCTATTTATGTTTGCAGTGTAACATGAATCACCATTTTCATACAAAGATTAAAGGAAATTAATTCAGAGAGTTTCATTTAAACTTTTGCTTATTTAGTTCTATTCAAAGTAACTAATGATATACTTAAAAGTTGGTCCATTCCTTATGGAAAATTCATTATCTTATCTTTTTTAACAATTAGACAATTTTTCTTACCTTTTCTTGAAATACAAATGCTATTTCTTCATTTGTAGAACCTTGTTGAAAATATAAGCCTTTCATAGTAGTCACCTAAAACAAACAAATTCAATTAAAGGTTCCCAAAGCAAATGAAAACTGGAAAAATCTTACTGGCAAAGGATAAAATGGCAACTATGAATATTGTCTTCAAACAGGTAAATTTAGAGATGAGATCAAATAAGAGAAATGCAACATGACAAAATGATCGTGCACATCTGTAATCCAGCACCTGTAATCCTAGTTTAGGGTTGGGGGATAGGCCAGCTCAGGCAAAAAAGAAAAAAAAATAGGAAAAAGTGAACCACTAGAAACTGGTTAAAATTGTTGAAACTGTAACGTGTAATTCTTTGGTAGTAGTTTATAAGCCTTTTCCGTAGCTAGTTCATTCTTCTCCCCACCTCCCATTTCTTTTTTTGTGGTACTGGGAGTTTGAATTCAGGATCCTGAACTTGTCAAGAAGGTATTCTATCATTTGAGACACCTTCAGTTTTTTTTGTTGGTCGTGAGGCTTGAACTCTGGGCCTGGGCGCTGTCCCTCAGCTCTTCAGCTCAAGGCTAGCGCTCTACCACTGGAACCACAGGGCCTCTTCGGGTTTTCTGGTGGTTTATTGGCAATAAGAGTCTCATGGTCTTTCCTGCCTTGGCTGGCTTTGAACCACAATCCTCAGCTCTCCCTCCTGAGTAGCTTGGATTACAGGTGTAAGCCACTGGGGTGCCCGGCCTTTTTTTTTTTTGGTGCCAATCTTGAGCTTTGAACTTAGGGCCTGCGTGCTATCCCTGACCTTTTTTGTTCCTGGATAGCACTCTACCATTTGAGCTAAGGCTCTACTTCTGGCTTTTTTAGTATTTTTGGAGAAAAGTGTCCCACAGACTTTCATGCCAGTCTGGCTTTGAACCCTGATCCTCAGATCAGCCTTCTGAGTAACTAGGATTACAGGTGTGAGCCACTGGAGCCTGACCCTTTTGCATTTTTGTTTATGCTCAGGTGGGTCTGGGCTTTGATCCTATTTCTGTTCTTTTGGTGCTAGGATGGTAGGTACATGCCAAAGCACACGCAGCCATTGTGCTTTCCCTGTGGTTTGGGACTACAGGTGCGCGTCACTGTGTCCAGCCACTGACCGAATGCAGCCTTGTCATGCCAGAAAGTACAAGACCAGGATGTCTGCCGCCCAAGTAGCTAGGTTACAGGACTGAGTGTGCCCAGCTTCCACAGCTTTACATTTTCATAGTAATCATATTGCGAGCCTTTAAAAAATGTAAATTTATACAAGTATGAAGGAGATTTAGAAAGCACACAAACCGTAAAAGTACAGCTTGTGCAATTTTAAAGTGAACATGCTCCTGTCACCAGGAAACACATCACTACCGGAAATTCAGAAGCTCTTCTGCCTGCTTCTAGTTACCACCTGCCTTGTCACTGCCTCTTAAGAAACCCAGTACCCAAGACTTTCAACAGCATGGTCTTCTGAACTTACAGAAATGAGATCATAAGCCTATCTTTATGTCTGTTTCATTTCTCTCTCTCTCTCTTTTTTGTCAGTCATGGGGCTTGAACTCTGGGCCTGGGCACTGTCCCTCAGCTTTTCCTAGCATTCTACCACTTGAACCACAACGCCACTTCCCATTTTCTGAATGGTTTATTGGCGATAAGAGTCTCATGGACTTTCCTGCCAAGGCTGGCTTTGAACTGCGTTCCTCAGATCTCAGCCTCCTGAGTAGCTAGGATTACAGCCATGAGCCACTGCTGCCCATCTTCATTTCTCTTAATATTACTTTGGTTTCACTCATGTTGCTCGTGGTTGCAGTCCATTTACTTCCTGATCTATATAATTGCATTGTATGAGTAAGTCACTGTCTGTCCATTCCACTATACACAAGACATTTGATTTGTTTCTAGTTTGGAGGCTCTTAAATATTTTGAGAAACATTTTTGTACAAGTTATTATTACATATATTTTATGGATAAGAAAATTGCATCTCTCCAACCCCAACTGGGGATTGAACTCCCCACCAAATAAATTTCAAAGAGATTTATACTCACAGCTGGGGCTCAGCTCACTGCACTAGTGGTGCCAGATGCGGGACCCAAACCAAGTGCTACTGATGAATTCCAAAGTTATTATTTTTAACTATTAATGCTTAATGGTTTCCTGCCTAATAGGACATATCACTTAAAGCTATAATTTTCATATCCTTTAGGATAATTATTAAGTGCTTGTTGATACAACTGTACATATAATTTGTAGGTCCCAGTACACAATGAAAGTGTGAAATTAATTTAAAAGTTATTAAAATTTCCTAGCTGGCAATAGTAGAATACCAAACTAAGGATGGGCCCCTTCTAAGCATGAGGTGTAGTAACACTCTAGTCTCATGTCCATGTACCAGCCTGGTTTCATGCTGACATATTAGTAGATCTAACTGGATTCATACAAAAGGATTTTTTCCTAAGTGTAGCTGAGCAATGGTTTGTAGGATGAGATAATCCAATGCTGGGGCTAATGAAATGTGAATACACACTTAAGACATAGATGAAGATTATATATGTAACATGTATAAATAAAGCATGTAAGGACAGGGTGACCTAGGTGAAATGGTTAGACGAATCCTACCCTTGTGGTTATTGAAAGTCATTATTTGTACCAATGTGTTTTTGGACATGTGGATAAAAGGGAAGAATCTCAGCATTGCTACCACAAATTTCCCCTACAGTAAATCTAACCTCTTCTGCTAGTTTTCAAGGTTCTTTAAGACAGCTACTAAGCTTCTCCCAGTCTATTTTACTCCACCCATAACTTTTAACTTTTTAATACTGTTTGAGTCAGTGTGACTTCATACCATATGGTTACCCCGCCTGAGGTTTTCCAGGCAAGGCCCGTTCTCTGAGAATGTGCTATACTAACTCTATAGATTCTGCTAAATAAACGAAGATCAAGTCCTACTTCCTTAGCAGGAATCACCTTTGGTGACAGTCAGTCTATCCCATCTGTTCATGCTTCTAGCCTTCATTACATACCAACAAATTTTATTTTATTTACCAACTAGGGATCTTTCTCAGCTACTGGATCTTGGCTAAATCAGCTCCCTGGTTATTTCTGTTTCATTTTGACACTTGGTTTCTTGATATATAGCATAGGCTGGCCTCCACCTCTTGGTCTTCTGGCTTCTAATCTGTGTATTGGGATTATAGATGTACAAATTTGCTGAGCAATACCTCTTATTATTAAATAAACCTCCTACTCAAGTCTACAGCTACTAGAGCTGCTCCTTCTAGAATGGAATAATTCCATATCAATGTCTTGATTTTACAGCATCTTCTTTTCTGATTATGGAAGCCCCTTTTTCTCTGCTAATTGAATTTTAAAACTAATCTGAACTCATGGCTTAGATTAGTAGTCCCATGGACCTTATAATATGCTCCTATTTCAAAGACTCTGGAAGGGGGCTGGGAAGGTGGCTCGGTGGTAGAGTGCTTGCCTTGCATGCATGAGGCCCTGGGTTCGATTCCTCAGCACCACATAAAGCAAAAAGAAAAAAAGCCAGAAGTGGTGCTGTGGCTCATGTGGTAGAGTGCTAGCCTTGAGCTGAAGAGCTGAGGGATAGCGCCCAGGCCCAGAGTTCAGGCCCCATGACTGGACCCCCCCCCCAAAAAAAAAAAGAAAAAAAAATCAAAGACTCTGGAAGATAACTGTTTATTCATACCCTGAGAAAATATTGAAAAAATAAATAAAGCCCCAGGCACTGGTGGTTCATGCACCTGTAATCCTAGCTACTTAGGAAGCTGAGATCTGAGAATGGAGGTTCAAAGGCAGTCTGGGCAGGAAAGTCTGTGAGACTCTTAACTCCAATTAACCACCAGAAAACTGGAAATGGTGCTGCAGCTCAAAGTGGTAGAGCACTAGCCTTCAACAAAAGGAGCTCAGGGACAGTGCCCAGGCCCTGAGTTCAAACCCCACAGCCAACAAAATATAAAAACTAAAGTAAAAATAAAGTAAATATTATGTTCACAATAATGCCAGTATTCTCAGTCAAAGTACACGAAATAGTTCCTCCAAGTTAAGTGACTAGTGGCCTAGTCTGTGGAAAAAAGTAGTTGATTCAGTTAAGAACTGTGTGTGATCAAAAATAGCCTTAAAGTTACAAAGTAAAACAAAAAGGGTTTTTTTACAAAAGTGGTCAGAGGAAAAATGAGAAACTACTCATAATTTGTTTTATAATCTCCCCCAAAAGAAATATGGAATTTCTGGAACTAGGAAAATGGTAGAATGAATGATACTCAAGGCTTGCAAAATTTCTTAGGCACTGGTGCAGATTAAATAGAAGACTTAAACCCATTATTTAATAAGACCTTTAATTAATTTACAGGCATTTGCAGAAAGAAAATAACTGTGTTATAAAATAACAATAGAAATTAAAAATATGTGGTATCATTTTTAAGGAAGTTATGTAATGTTAAATTTATAGATATTTATATCCTACTATAAGCTTTGCTAAATCAAAAGAATGACACATAAAATTTGTTTTTTTTCCACTGTAGTGTTGGGGATTGAAACCAGAACCTCTTTCATGTAAAAGTGCTATACCACTTAGGTAAATTTTTTTTTCAGACTGAGCTTTCAACTTAGAGCTTTGTGCTTCCTAGACAGCGACTCTACAGATAAGTTACACCTCTAAGCCAGTAAACTACATTTAAACATGTGGGCCATGCTGGGGTAGATGGCTCATGCCTATAATCCAAGCTGCTCAGGAGGCTGAGATATGAGGATGGTGATTCAAAGCCAGCATGAGCAGGGAAGTCTGTGAGACTTTTCTTCAATTATCCACCAAAAAAGCCAGAAGTGAGCTGTGGGCAAGTGTTAGCCTTAAACAACAAATCTGGGTGATGGTGCCCAGGCCCTGAGTTCAAGCTTTGATACTGGTACACATGCACAAAATGGCTGAGATGCTTTGTGAGAGACATATAGGTTTCATACTTTTACAAATATATCAGAATTTTAAAAACATTTACATAAGTGGGAAAACTGAAGCTTATGTTAATAATACTTTAAATGAATAAAATTCATAATGGATAAATATACATATATATTTATTAAAGTATGGAGAAAAAACCTCAGAAATTTATTTAAACTAATTTTTGGTAAAAGCAGAAATAAAACTTTGCAGACTTAACTAAAAATATTTCAACAAAGTATTTAATAAAGGTACTGATCTCTTCAAGGGGAAGTAATTTCAAATAGTTTCTTCTTTAACAGCAACAAGAAATCCACAGACTCTTCTCCTGTTACAGTCAATCCCCAAGCTCATCTATTAATAATTAAGTCTCCACAGATCATTCCTCACCCTTACTTTGAAGCCACAAGTGTCCCAAGTATCAGATCAACCTCAAACTCAACAGAGTTATAACTGGGCTGATCTCTCCCAGTCATCTCTAGCCATCAGGGACATCTGAGAGTCACAGCCCTTCTTCACAGTATTTTATTAGTTACGTTCTTTTGTTCTTTCGCTTTGTCTGGCCTACTCACACTAAGGGCCATCACCTTAGATGAGGTTAATCACTACAATGCTCAGGGCTTTGACTTTCTCACTTTCTCCTTATCATCCAATCATCTGTTGCTCTATGGCAAACTTCCTGAAAATCTGAATTATTTTTCTTGTACAGTCAAATTTTTAAAATTATCTTCCAACATAAGCTATGACACCTTCAGGTTGTAACTGATACAATGTTTGTAATTAACTTTTACTATTTATTTTTGTGTGTGTGTATGCCAATGATGGAGCTTGCACTCAGGATGATACTGCTTAGCTTTTTACTCAGGCTGTCACTTTACTAACTGAGCCACATCTCTGCTTCTGGTGTTTTGCTGGTTAATTGAACACAAGATTCTCTAGGATTTATATGGATGGGCTTTGAACAGAAATCCTCGGATCTTAACCTCCTGAGTAGCTAGGATTACTGGTGTGAGCTACCAGTGTCTGACTTTTACCTATTTTTAAAAATTGTTTTTGTGCCAATTCTGGGGTTTGGATTCAGGGACTGGCCGTGTCCCTGAGCTTTTCTTTTCTTTTTTTTTGCTGAAGACTAGCACTCTACCACTTTATTTTATGCAACCTAAGAATTAAAGATAGCAGGAGTAGCTGTAAGGAAACATTCCTTTTTTAGGCAGAATAAAAAAAAACAACAAAGAAACAGAAAAAGGTATTTGCTTAGCATTTGGGAGGTTGAATCACTAGGATCACAATTTAGAGGCCAGTGTTGGCTACATAGGGAGATCTTGTCTCGAAGAAACAACAAATCCTGAGAGGCACAGGACTGTCCTAAAATCGGTCTAGGTGAAGCTCATTATGCAAGAAAACATTTGACTTTTATTAAATAAACAATGAAAAAAACAGGCTTGGCGATTTCTGCCTGAAATCCCAGCAATCAAGAGGCTGAAATCCCAGCAATCAAGAGGTTAAGCCAGGAGGCTCATCAAGAGTTCAAGGCCAGCTTGGCAGCTTGTGCTACTGAGTAGGATCACGTCTCAGGGGAAAAGTGAAGTTCAGCAGAATGGGATTTTAAGACTTCCCAAGCTTTCCCACTTTCCTTTTTCTGGGAGGTATTCAAATGAATCAAAACTGAGCAAGTTTTATATAGAATTGGCCCAGTCTTGAGTATCTCTTTCAAGTTTTCAACTTTCTTTTTCAATCCCTTCAGCAGCATGCAGCAGCATGGCCAACTCTAAAACTACCATATTTTACTACTAATATCAGGTAGCCAGGTCTTACCTGGGAAATTCCTTCATTCCAAGCCCCTCATGCTCTGCTGCTGGATGGGGCCAGAAGCATCAATGGAGTGAAATTAGTGATAAAAGGTAAAAGAATATATGTTGCTATGATTGATGGATAGAATTTACAAGTCCTAAATGATGCTGGTTTGAATCATCAGTGATTTCCAAGCGTTGCTACAAGAATATAGTAATATATACAAAACACTCATTTTTTTCTTTTTTCTTTTTCTTTCCAGTCCTGGGCTTGAACTCAGGGCTTGGGCACTGTCCCTGAGCCTTGAGCCACAGCACCACTTCTATCTTTTTCTGTTTATGTGGTACTGAGGAATTAAACTCAGGGCTTCATGCATGCTAGGCAAGCACCCTACCACTAAGCCATCTTCCCAGCCCTAAAGCCAACTCTTTATTCAGTAAGTATTAGCTTCCCCCACCCCTTTTTTTGTCTGTTGTGGGGCTTGAACTCTGGGCCTGGGTGCTGTCCCTCAGGTCTTCAGCTCAAGGCCAGCACTCTACCACTTGAGCCACAGCACCACTTCCGGCTTTTTCTGCTTATGTGGTGCTGAGAAATCGAACGCAAGGCCTCATGCATGCAAGGCAAGCGCTCTACCACTGAGCTACCTTCCCCGCACCCTCCCCCATTTTTCTTTTCTTTTTTAAACTATTATTTCTGTAAGTTCACCGGAGTACCCCTAAGGTTGTTCTGAAGTCTATGTAACAGAGCATCGAAGGAGCTACACGGTTAACCGCTTTGAATCTGTACTGTTCCATTACAGGATTAGATCTGCACAGAAACCAATAGCTACAGGTGTTACTGAGCACTTGAACGGTGCAGGTTGTATACGAGTTGCGCTCTCAAGTGTAAAATGCACACCAGATGTGGAAAAGTACACATGGAACAAAATAGATACAAATACAGTTTTAAATTGAAATAGTTTGGATGTTTCTGGGTTAAATAAAACATAAAATTAACTTCAAGTATTTCTTTTCACTTTTTAAGTGCACTTAAAGTGGCTCAATTTGTATCGCTTTGGAAAGAGGTGATTTAGGACCTTGCTACTCTGCTTAGAGTCATGTTAACTAGCAGGATGGGGGAGGGGGGTGGGGGGTGGAGGGGGGAGGGAAACCGATGAAAAATGCAAATAAGCAGCCAGCCCAGACCTACCTAGGTGATCCTTGTTCTAGAGCATTCCGGGGCTTGGCTTTATGAAAAGATCACATCTGGGCTCGTGGCGGGATATACGCGAAGACCCTAGCTTTAGGGAACTGCTTGCTTGAAACCGGGAAAGTAAAGGGGAAGGAAGCAGGGGCAGAGGAGGAGTAAAGGGGAAAGGGCAAAATAAATACAGCAATTTTTAAAAGTCGGAATATGGAGGGAAACTTATGTCTAGACCTTTGCCTGCATAAAAGTGGAGGGAGATGAAAGCAGAGAAATCCCAGAGTCCGGAACTGCTTGTCAAATGTAGTCTCACCCGCCCTTCAGCGGCCTCGGCTAAACTAGGCCAGAGCCCGAACGGGTCTCCCGTCAAGGTGCAACGCAAACCACCATCCTCCTCAGGGCTAGATAGTTCTGCCGGGCGATTCTCCATTTTTTGGCCAAAGTCCCGTTTCCCCAGACACACGACAAGCATCCCCACAGCTCACCTGCCTCGGGGGAGCCTCAACCGCCAGCGCCTTCGCCACCGCCACCTTTTAGCTCTTCTCAAGGACAAGCCCCCTTGGGCTTAAACGGTGCTACCATTGGCCAGACCACCTGTCACTCGTAGACGTGTGGCGAACGCCGTGGCATCGGAGCTGGGAACTACAACTCCCGGTATGCTCTGCTCCATAGAGACACTCGGCACCGCCTCAGGGAATACCAATAAATGGACAAGGTTGTATTCACCCGAACGGATTCCTTTTCATGCAGATTTGAGCGAAAGACCACACCCTTTCTAATTCCAACCGTATCCTTACCACCTCCCTCGGGCTGTGTCCTGCCTGGCTTTTCGATTCACGTTATTCTCTTTTGTAAAGCCTTCTGTAACTTAGGTGAATGCATCCTAGGTACAGGGTTGCGCTGCAACGACTAGATGCACCGAATCATGGATAAAAAAAAAAAAAAAGCTCTCCTTAAATTCCAGACAAGAAACCTTTGGTTACGCCTCCCTGAAGCAGGGCACGTCCTCCCAAAGCCTCCTGATTGGTTCACCTGGCTGTCACTCCGAACTCCACAATTCTTTAAAGCCCACTCCTCTTTTTTCTCCCGCTGTGGGCGGGGCCGGAGGTAGGCGGTGTCCGGGAGGCGTGGCTTCATTCCGATTGGCAGACCGTTGTCTCCACCCATTTGCGGGCGGAGACGGAGGATTGGAAGGGGGAGGAGGAGGCTGCTGAGGGAGATGAGGAGATAGGCGGGAGCGAGGGAGCGAGAAGCGAGGGAGGCCGCGGGGAGTAGGGGAGCGCGGGGAGGCCGCGCAGCTTGGTTGCTCGGTAGTACGGCGGCTCGCGAGGGAGAATCCCGAGCGGGCTCCGGGACGGCCGGCCGGCGGGCGGGAGGGGATGGTGTGCGGGGCTGCGGCTCCTGCGTCCCTCCCCGCGGCGTGTGAGCTGCACTGATTTCGTGTCTGGGGCGGCAGCGCGCACCCGCCCGGAGATGAGGTGAGGAGCGGGCGCCCGGCGGCGGCGGCGGCGGCGGCCTGGACCGCGGTAGGCGCGCGGGGGCGGGGGTCGGCACGATGGCCGCTCGGGGTTCTGGTCCCGCGGCCCGGCGCGCGGCGCTCCGGCTCCCCTTCACCCCGTGCCGCCCGCCGGCTTGGCGCGGCAGCGGCCGCAGCTCCGCCTCGTCCTTCCTATCCTCCCGGGGGCGGCGGCGGCGGCGGCCGGGAGCCAGCGGACCAGCGCCCCGAGGCCGGGGCTCCGCGGCGGGCCCGGAGGGGTGGGGGGTGGGGGTGGCGGCCGCGGGACGGGCTTGGGGATGGAATGGGCGCCCGCAGCCCTGGCCGGCCGAGCGGGCGTTCTCGGGTCTTGCCGAAGGGGCGTCGAGGGCGGACGGTCCTTCCAGGGCTGACCTCGCTGCCCTCGGTCGCCGGTGGGTGGCGGGCCGGCCCTGCATCACCTTCTGGCCGGGGACCCGGAGCTCCCGCGGAGCGGCATCGCGCCTCCCGCTCGTCCCCTGGACTCGAGTCCCCGGCTCGTCTCTTTTTCTTCTCCGTCGCGTGCCTTACCGAATCCTTTCCATGAAGGACAGCCAATGCCGTTTGGCACCGGGCGGTGCTGCCCAGGCGGCCTTTGGTGCTGTTTAACCGAACGCGGCTGGCTGCCCCTCTCGCTGGGGCAGCGCCCCCGGGGTCTGGCGCTTCTGCTGCCCTTCTTTTACGCACCGACGGGATTCACCCGAGGCACACAGATGCGTTCTCTTCTGGGTTGGAAATGTAATCCACATTCCCAGAAAATCTGGAAAGCAGAAAGGAATAGGCTGTGCCTTCTTGGGCTTCGGTTCTCTGAAGACAGCTTCGTAGATTACGTTTCCTATGGGCAATCTTTTGTTGTGCTTCAGACTAGAAAGGCTTTGCTCTGGAAGAAATAAGACTAGCAGCTTCTTGAGTTGGGAGCGTGTGGCGATTTTGTTTTTTTTTGGGGGGGGTGAGCAGCATCTTGGAGATGGATATCAAAGTTTCCTTTCGAACTTTGCAATCGTCCTTGCTTCTCCGAAAGCAGAAAAATCAACCTGAAAATTTAAATATAAGCTGCCTAAGGGCGGATGGGCTTCTTTTGTGCGTATGTGTCGGTGTCCTTCTCTTGCTGGTTCTGTGGTCAGAAACGTACGGACAATAAAATACAGATCATAAGCACAAATATGCAAACCATGACCCCTGGAAGACCTATCAGCAGAGAGATTTACGAATTCCGTTGAACGGATGAGGAGAAAGGCTGAGAGAGCCAGCTCATGGATTATGTAGTGGACAGGATGTGAGGGCAGAATCGGGGCTGCGAGCCAGCAGGCCAGCTGCTTTGCGTGCAGCGAGTCTAACCCCCCCAGAACGACGATGTTCTTTGCGGGGACACCTTCACTTTTTTCTTCCTTTCCTGTGTGTGTGTGTGTACACGTGTGTGTACACGTACGCCTGTGCCAGTACTGGGACTTGAACTCAGAGTCTGGCTTCTGTCCCTTAGTTTTTTCGCTCAAGGCTGGCTCTCTACCACTAGAGCCACAATGCCACTTCTCGGCTTTTGGTGGTTAATTGGAAGTAATAGACTACTATCCCTGCTGGGGCTGGCTTGCTTCCAACCATGATCTTCAGATCTCAGCCTCCTGCATAGCGAGGATTACAGGTGTGAACCCCTGGCACTCAGCTGACATCTTGATTTTTGAGTTTAACAATATAGTAGTTTAAACACCTTTCATAGTTATTTTTATTTCCATTTGTTTTTCTCTGAGAATGAAATCCTGTTTTCTTTTTCTTTCTTTCTTTTTTTTTGGGGGGGGGTCCGGTCATGGGGCCTGAACTCTAGGCCTGGGCGCTGCCCCTCAGCTCTTCAGCTCAAGGCTAGAACTCTACCACTTGAGCCACAGCACCACTTCCAGCTTTTTTTTTTTTTTGCTTATGTGGTGCTGAAGAATCGAACCCAGGGCCTCAGGCATGCAAGGCAAGCGCTCTACCACTGAGCCACCTTCCCAGCCCCCTGAAATCCTTTTTTCTTGTTTAAATCTTTTCCCTTTCAACTAGTTTTCTTGAAACATTTTTCAGGCATTTGCTTATAACTAAAAACTTTGTTTTTTTTTTTTCGGGTCATGAGACCTGAACTCTGGGCCTGGGCGCTGTCCCTCAGCTCTTCAACTCAAGGCAAGCACTCTACCACTTGAACCACAGCGCCACTTCTGGCTTTTTCTGCTTATGTGGTGCTGAGGAATCAGCACTCTTAACACTAAGCCACCTTCCCAGCCCCACATTTTTTTTTAAATTAAATTTTTTGCCAGGCAGGCCTGACTCCTGTAACACTAGCTGCTCAGATGGCTGAGATTTGAGAATCTAGGTTCAAAGCCAGACTGGGCAGGAAAGTCTGTGAGACTCTCTTCCTCAATTACCCACCAAAAAAGCCAGAAATGGGGCTGTGGGCAAGTGTTAGAGAGCAAGCCTTAAGCAACAAATCTGGGTAAGAGTGCCCAGGCCCTGAATTCAATCCCCATGGCTGACAAAAAAAAATAATAATTTGGAACTTCTTAAGAAATTTACATTATGAAACGAGGGACATTGATATGGCATAAAAAATACTTCAGCTGGGTGCCGGTGGCTCACGCCTTAATCGTAGCTACTCAGGAGGCTGAGATCTGAGGATGGCGGTTCAAAGCCAGCCCGGGTAGGAAAGACCATAAGACTCTTATCTCCAATAAACCACCAGAAAACCGGAAGTGGCTCTGTGGCTCAAATGGTAGAGCACCCACCTTGAGCTGAAGAGCTGAGGGACAGCACCCAAGCCCAGAGTTCAAGCCCCACGACTGACAAAAAAAAAAACCACAAAAATAACTTCAGATACCTTTAGCACCCAGCAAAGAACTTGTCTAATAGTATTTTTTTAATTGTCATTTTTCTAAGAAGCTATTGAAATTGCTCAGGATCATGGTACTTAAAACTTGTTAATCTGTCTAAGAGAGAAAATGAACAAATTATTAATGTACTTTGGAACTTGTGCATTGTTCAGCTACTAAGCATTGTAAAATAAGGCATAAAGTGAGTGGTAGCAAGTTAGTCCCATGAAATGTTTGTCCCTTTTAGCATTGTTTTTCCAGTTGACTAAAAATATTTTTCTCCTAACTTCCTTCCTTTCCCTCCCTCCCTCATTTTCCTTCCTCCTCGTCCTCCTCCTCTTCCTCGTCTTCGTTGTTGTCGTCCTCCTCCTCTTCTTTCTTAATTTCTTTCTTTTTCTGTCTCCCCCACCCGCCCCCTCTCCCCCCGTACTGGTACTTGAACGCTCCTGCTTTAACTTGGTATTTTCACTCCTGGCTGGTACTCTACCAATTGAACCATAGTGCCATTTCATGAGATTTTCTGCCCAGGCTAGCTTTGAACCATGATCCTTAGATCTCAGCCTCCAGAGTAGCTAGAATTAAAGGCGTGGCTCACAGTCCCCTGGCTTTATTTTTCTCTTAATATTGATACTAGAATTCTCTGATGTTTCATCTTTTCCCCAAATGCCTGGATTGAGGCACATTCTTAAAGTTCTTACAGAGATTAATGGAGAGGAGCTGATCATTTTCTCCACCTTTTTTTCCCACACAGAAAAAAGGAGCCTGCCAAACACATGTTCTACACCCCAAGCCTCTTAACTCATCTATTTTTTTTTTTTAATGTGTATGTGTGTTTGTGGTGCTGACAATTGAACTCGGGGCTTTGTGCATGTTAGGCAATTACTCTGTCACTGAGCTACATCCCCAGTCTCACCTTTTTAAATTTGCTAAATTTGTTCTATAGAGAATTACATGGAAGTTGAATTTGTATTGCTCATTCAAATTCTGCCACCTGACTGCTGTCTTTTCAATGATTTTCTCCTGAATAGCCCTGCTCACTGAGTGGTTTTCTCAAAGTCTAGACTTCTTTTTTTTTTGGGGGGGGGGTCCAGTCGTGGGGCCTGAACTCTGGGCCTGGGCACTGTCCCTCAGCTCTTCAGCTCAAGGCTAGCGCTCTACCACTTGAGCCACAGTGCCA